GGAAATGTGTGGTATTGGGCTGCGTTTGTGACAGGTGCCTTTGGAAAAGTAGCAGCTTGGTCCCAAAGGCTTTGATATGTGAATACAGTTGGCTTACCACTGCATTTTGCCCCTGAAGGCTCGTGTTCAGCACGTTCAGATGTCGTGTTATGTCAACTAAAAATCCAAAATCAGCCAGCCAAACAGGATCAGATAGCTCTGGCATCAGTTATCCCTTTTTTGCCAAGAATTGTCCGATTTCCTCCCTAAGAGAGTAGAAGCGCTGCAGTGCAGACCCCCGACTGAGCCATCTTACCTCGTTGTGATACACAACATCTCCATATTCAGCCAGGATGCTGAGTAGAAACTGTTGAAACTGGCGGTGGCACAGGGCTTTGGAGCGAATATAATTAATTGCCTTCATCACCGGTTTCATAACATGATCATATTTCAGAAGTTTGGCACAGAACTTGTTGGTGAATAATACAGTGGAGTTTTATAGCTTTGCCTCCTTCTTCGCTGACTTTGTTACAGACTAGGGTTGATAATCCACTTTGCTTGCCAGCCATGGCTGGTGCGCCATCCGTAATAATCCCAGTGACTTTATTCCACAGTAGTTTCATGTCATCTACAGCGGAACAAACAAAAACAAATAAATCTGTTCCTCTTGTTTGGTCCTTAAGGCTCTGGAGGTCAAGTAGCTCTTCACTCACGTTCATGTCATTGTCCACTCCTATCAAAAAAATCAGTAACTGAGCAGTGTCAGATGCATCCGTGCTTTCGTCACAGGCTAACAAAAAAAAGTCAAACTCCACTCCTTTTGCCTCTAACTGTCTCTTAATATCAGATGAAACGTCTTCAATTCTCCGTACCACAGTGTTACGAGCCAGGCAAACATTGGCAAACTCTTGCTTCTTCTCAGGACAAATTTTCTCCACCATTTTCATCACGCAGTCTTTAATAAATTCACCCTCAGTAAAAGGTTTGCAGTGCTTGGCAATCAGTGTTGCCACCTCGTAGCTTGCCTTTGTGGCATTTTCATTTGACTCACGGGCTCTTGTGAAAAAGTGCTGCTGTGCTGTTAAAGCAGCTTCCAGTTCCTTCAATTTTTCGCCGCGTTCATTCCCAGTTAGCTTGTTGTAGTTAGCATGTTTCGTCTGGTAGTGCCTCTTGATAATGAATTCCTTGAAAACAGCCACAGTCTCTTGCCAAATTAGGCAGACACAGTTGTTTCGTATTTCAGTGAAAAAAATACTCCAATTTCCACTTGTCCTGGAAGTGTCAATGTTCCTTTTTTTAGTGACAGTCGCCATTTTAGAAATGGGCGCACAAGCCTTGTGTCACAAGGGTCACGCGGCGAGTGTGCTGACTCAGGCCTACTTCCATCTTCTGGTGAAATATAACCACCATCCTTGCAGAAGCAGGGGACAGCTGCGGGAACCGCTGTGCGGTGAAGGGAAAAACGCCGGCCGGCAGGGATGAGTGACAGGCTGAGCCGGCGGGGAGAAGAGGCTGTGGGCTGCTCGAAATTTGAAAACGGGCCGCAATTGGCCCCTGGGCCGGACTTTGGACATGCCTGCTGTAGGTAGTAGCAAATATATAGAAATTTACTTGCTAACTAAATTTGCTGAAGTTTCTGTTGACATTTATAGCTACTACAGATTAATAACTTCCTTGTTTTTCCTACTGACCTGTGGAGGATTATCCTTAGTGTGACCACTTAGTCTTTCATGGTCCCAGTGAGAGCACAGTGATAAGTAAATCCAGATTCATACTTTTCTTCGTCATATCCTCTGTGCATCACACATTATGGGTGCTGCACCTGCACAGCGTCTGTAGCCAGGAAAGATTCAAAGCTTTAACAGATTTTGGCAGGAACTCTGCACCCCTCCTCCACTATAATATAAAGGGCAGAGCGCCCGCCATTTTCCCCAGTCTTCTTTCAACCGCGGATCGCTTTGCCTCGAGCCGTTCGTTTGCTATCACTTACTCTTCACATATTTCTCATTGCTATTCTTCTTGTCTTGTTTTTGCTTCTTGTTAAGAAACCCCTTCCAAGTTTTACTGACCTTTCCCTCCCTGGTAGGAAAGTTTTCTTCCCCCTTTTCCCTTCCACCAATCTTCTATAGTTCTTCTTTCTTCTTGTTCGCTATGCATTCTATTTTCTTCTTGATGGCTCAGCGAGTGGCGTTCCAAAAATGTTCCAACTGTGGGGCCAAGATGTCCCCAATGGGCCCTCATGATTTGTGCCTCCTCTGCTTAGGAGAGGGGCACCAGACTGACAAATGTGGCCACTGTCAGTCATTTACCAAGCAAGCTCGGAAGAACCAGGAGAATCAACTGAGGAAAATCCTTTGGGATCAGGCCTTGATTGCCTCTGATGAGCTTGCTGCTCAGGCCTCCTCAACAGGCCCTCCTATGGTGTCTTCCCTTCGCCCACCATCCAAGGGTGCTGCTTCCAAAGAGACTACCTGCTCCTCTCATTCTTCCTTTCAAAAACAAAAGGAAAAGAGGAAGCATACAGGGTCTAAGGAAACTTCGGCTCTGAAAAAGCCCAAGAAGGCTAATGTCCATAAGTCGGACCGCAAGCAACGTAAGCTTGCTTCCTGTAACCTGAGCTTGTTACTGTGTTCTGCACTCTGGGATGATCAAGAAGAGATCCTGGCCGCCTTCTTTGTGGCAGTCTTTCAAGCACTGGAAGAGTCCTACCATATCTCTCCCCAGTCTTCTGTTCTTGAGGCTAAACATGCCCAGTTCTTTCAATCTCTCTTCACAGGGCTTTGTTTCCAGTCCCTGGATCATCCTTAACATGAATGGCAGCAGTTTACACTGAAACTTCAAAGTCTGTCCCACTCACATAGCTTATACATCAATACAAAGTGACACTGAGGATGCTTGACATTCCATTTGCAAGGCTGGTTTCTGATGCCTAGAGCATTCCCAGCTATTTCTAATTGGTGGGGAAAGCATTATGAACTGCCAGTGGCAGTGTCCCAGCCTCCTTCAAACAGTAGAAAGCTCTGCTCAGAGAAACTCGTTTTGCTGATGTCCTTTCCTCATGCTTTTAATCTGACCAGTTTTAACTCTGCTGATTGCTTTTATGCTGTTCTTTGTTTGAATGTTAATGTTTTTACTGTTTGTATCCAATGCTAGTATTTCTGTTTCTTTTGTTGATGCTGTGCCAACTGCATTAGATACTTGTTGAAATAAAGGGTCCTGCTTGAGAAAACAGGGAATTTTCATTTCATAAAGTGAGCTAGACTGTGTACACTGTGCAGATAGAATTCTGTGTCAGGGTAATTTAAATCCCAAGCTAAAGGAAGCCAGATTTGGGGAGGTATACACACTAGAAATTAAGCAACATCTTGTTATTGGCTTATTTTGCATTTTTTTATTCTTCTAGTCATGGTTATTGGGCAAGGTTCTATGCACACCACAGAACTCCCACTACATTTTCATTGGCCTCTGAGATTTCAGCAAGTGCTGTCTTGTATCACCTACTGATTTTGTTCTCAGTAGATTCATTACAAAAATGAAAAACCAAATTTAATCAACTTGAATAGTTGGATGAGTTATTACTATAATTATTAAATATATAGCAAGGCATTTATATTTTGCTGTTCTTCCTTGTACAAGAAACTTAAGGTTATTCTTGCACTACTATTATAACTGTAGATCTTGTTTTAAGTTTTTAAATGATTAAGCAACCCAACAATTAGAGATATTATAATTACTGTTCTGCATAGGGCAGTGATGCTTTTAACTATAGTGCAGACTGCAGAAATTTTTAACTATATTAAAATATAGCTTTTAACTATAGTGCAGATATTTTTTTATTATCCAAGGCAAAAGCAAAATTAGGGCCCAAAGAATCTAATCAGGGGGATATGTAATCATTCCTGAAAGTTAAGATTTCCTATCATCTTTGTCTTCCCTCCCATCCTTGGGGGAACAGCCTGACAAAAGGATTAGCAAACCAGAAGAAAGAATGTGATGGCTCAAGACTTGCTTGGCTTCACCATATTTCTTCCTGGGGCCTGAGTTAATGGTGTACAGGCTGAATCCTTGTTGATCTACCATGGGCTTGAACCCTGACAACAGTTTTGCTGCAAGATCTGAACACGTGAGAAAGAAGACCATCCTAAGATGCCTTGGTAAAACCTGTTTGATGCAGCAATTTGTACCTCAGTACTGGTGCAGTGGTTTAAACCGCTGTGCTGCTGGGCTGGTTGATCGAAAGGTCACTGGTTCAAATCTGCACAACAGAGTGAGTTCTGTTGCTTTGTCCCAGCTCCTGCCAACCTTGCAGTTCAAAAGCATGCAGATGCAAGTAGATAAAAAGGTACCACTTTGGTGGGCAGGTAACAGCGTTCCGCACACTTCGATGTTCAGTCATGCTGGCCACATGACCACGGAGACTGTCTGCAGACAAATGCTGGCTCCCTTGGCTAGGAAATGGAGATGAGCACCACCCCCTAGAGTCAGGCATGACTGGATGTAACATCAAGGGGAAACCTTTACCTTTACCTTTTTACTGCAAACTATGACAATCACTGAACAATTTTTGATTGCATAAATTTAGCCTCAATAATGTACTTGTAGTAAACTATACTGAATTTAGTGGGGCTTCTTTCTTATCTTAAATCTTTAAAGTTGCAGACAAAATTGTTCATGCCTGTCAAGGTGGGCAGATATGAAACCAATGAAAGATACCTGTAATCTGTTCTAAATTCACAGGAGAGAAACAGATGGAAACAAATGCTTATTTTGTCCATGCATATTTTTCACAAAAGATGTAACATTGCAGGGAAGGAAGTCTTTATGTCCCTTTTTATTTTGGATTAACAGGTACCAGCAACCAGTGGCAAGAAGCCAGTCTTTGGAATTGCTAATTGTGCATGATTTATGAACTTAAGTTTTTATACAACTATAGCAATGCTAGCTTTTCAGCTGTAACATAGGAAGTTGCCTTATACCAAGTTAGGCTATTGCTCCATCTAGTCTGATACTGTACACTCTTGACAGGAGGTGTTCAAGGTTTCAGACTGTGATCTTTCAGATTGAAGTAGGTCCCTGCTGGGCTAATAAAGCAATGTAAACAATGATAGCACTCAGGAAATTTGATCGCTAAGTGAACAAATCACAGCTGGAAAATCCTAACAGACTGTTGATCTGTAATGTCATGATTTATGGTTGGTAATCTACAGCAGAAAAGGAATTAGGCCCCTTTTGTGCATACCTGCCACAGTGTGGGAATTAGCACCTACATGTAAGAAACATAGGGACAGTTGTGTGTTTTTCCACTTAACCACCATCATCTTTCAGGATCAGTTATTTGGCAATAGAGATTTTGCTTTACTTATGGAGGTCAAGCCATCTGAATTTCTCTCTGTACTTTTCCTTTCAAGCAACATCTTGATATTTAATCTTATGAAGTTTGTTTGTTGGATAGATTTTTAATACTTTGGTCCCTTACCTAGAATCTTTAATGTAGTTTAGAATTTTTGACCACTCTGTCAGAGTGGCATTCATAGGATTACAATTGATGTTTAGTCAAGATTCTACCTTTATAAGGAAATGTGTATGGAAGAAAGCCATTTAGGTCACACCTACTGCACAGAGCTGCAGATAAGGCAGGAAATAGTTGGGAGCCTTTGACGGGTTATCACTTATGTATCAAAAGCTAGCAACTCTGAAATGGATTAATGCATCTCTCTTATTAAGAGTTTGTGGTCTGCAAGGAAGTGCATGCCAAGGCATGATTTACAAGAAACTCAGCAGGAAGGAAAAACCATTATTTACTGTTTGTATTATCCAATAAGGTGGTATGCCAGCATTCGATACAAATTATCAGGATAATTTACATTAAAATTGACGTATTGTTCTTTTCGCTCCGTTTCAACAACTGGCTATGCGTTTTGGAATTGGAACATGACAGTAAAATGACCACATCGGTAACGTAAGTTCGGTTACTTTAAGAGCTGCTTCAGATGTGGAGAAAAATTCCACGGAGAGAAGCCTCTTAAACGTATTTTTGTAGAACACCCCTGGTGGCCACGGAAAGCGCCCCCTGCTTCCAACTGAGGGCGGTTGGAGCGTCTGTAAAAAACTCCTTACTCCATTGCACCTGTAGCTCAACCACCTCTCTAAAGCGAGAGCGCCACTCTTATAAAGATACGCGTCCTTCTCGCCCGCAAAATTCTAGCAAGCAAAGTAGGAATGCACGCACCACCTCTTGTATTGATAGATAACTGTTCAACGGCTCCATCATGCTTTGCGCGACAACCCAACCCCAGGCACGCCTTTTAATATTATCCCAGTTTTTCCATGCAGTGTCTTTCTCTCCCCCTTTCTTCGCTCATCGTCACGCTCGCTTTCCCGTCCGGTCCCCCATTTGGCCCCGCCCTCGTATTTTCCACGCTCCTCCCTCCCTCCCCGGACTTCGCTTGGCGAGCTGAGCTTGACTGCGAAGCTGCCGAGTTCTCTCGCGCGCCGGGGCCCCTCCTCTCGCGATACGTGGCCGTGGGGGCGGGATTGCCGCAGTGTCCGGCGTGCTCGCTTGCCCCTGGCAGGATTGAGGGGATGTTCGCGTGCGGGGTGGAAGGTGCTTGCGCTGTTCCCCGATGTCCCCCCTCTTTCTCATGGCCGGCTGCTTAGGTCGGGAGACACCGTGCTGAGGAGGTGCCGCCACTACACTATCATGAGGAAGGGTCGGTCTCGGGGGGACAAAGCGGGGCCCTCGGCGCTCCCGGCCGCAAGGAGGCTGGAACAGTCCGCCAGGGCCCCCGTAGACCCCTCCGAGAGGAGGGTTTCCTCCGCCGCAGCCAACTGGAAGACGGCTGAAGAAGCGGGTCGGAGTGGCGCCGCCTGCAGGGAACCGCCCGAAAAGGTACTGCGATTGCTGAGAGAGAGAGTGTGTGTGTGTGGTGTGTGTGTGGAGGGTGTCTGTCTCTTGTGGGGAGTCAGGTAACCGTGGGAAGGGAGTCGACTGGAGGCTTCATTTTTACTTTTACGTAAGACGGCATATGGAAAATAAGGTCCAGGGCATCAGTTTGGTGCAGAAGATGTGGTTACTGTTCACTGCAACATGTGTGAAGGGTAGAGAAAGGGTCATGTTGGGTTGGCTAGTGGGTTTTTTTAAAATTGTGGGATGCTGTGGCAAGAAAAGCCTTCTGAAGGATTGGTCGTGGAGATATTACTTGATTTCAGAAAGCCCTTGGAGAATTTGTATTTTGGGATACAGGAGGTCCTTGTATGTTCCTAATATTTGGGTTTTATGCAGGTGTATTGAATTTGTTTTATTGTAAGGCAGAAGATTCTTCAATTAAAGTGAGAAGAGCTTTGATATTTTGGCAGGTTGAGTTTCCCTGCTAGGAGCTTCTGGTCTTAGAGAGCTCAGAGGATCTCATGCAGCTTGTCACTGGTTGATTGAGACTGGAGCTTTGGATATTCTTATTGGAGGGGTTCCTCTTTCTGCAGGTCAAGAGTGTGTCTATATTCTGGATTCCTGAAAACATTTATGTTTGTAAAGAAGTATGGGCATAGTGAAGAGGCAGCCAAGTGAGGCTCATGGCTTTTCATTTTGATACTCTGGACTACAGCTAATGGGTTGTATCCCATTTAAAACTAACTTAAGTCTAATTAATTTCAGTGGGTTTACTCTAAGTGGGATATTCTGTTGCTGAATCACTTTGCGAGATGGTAGGAAGTTATGGTGGTGGTCTTTTTCAGTAGCATATAGCAGTTAGAGATCTGCCTAGAGATCTAGGTACAACCTGAGCCCAGAGTATGGTCTGAAGGCACATAAGACATCCTTCATGTTGAAACTAAGCAGTTTGAGGCTGGCCTGAGCTTGGAGGGGAGAGCACATGGGAACCACATGAAGCCAGCTTGAGTTCTGCAATGGGAGAAGGGTGGAATATAAATTTATTAGATAGTAAGATTTTTATATATGGTTTACTTTAGCAGACAATTATTTATAGTCCAGTTATATGTGAATCTGCCTTTGCCAATGGGCAACAATGAACCTTGTGAGTTAGTCTGAAGGAGGTGTGCTTGTGTACTAAAGGGTTCTGTGTTATGGTAGAGGTTTCAGTGAGACCACTCTGACTCTCCACTTCTATAACTTTGCATTAGTACAGTGTTGTATGTGCTAGTTCTCAGTATAATTTATTAGATATGGTGCCATGTCAGAAACCAACAAAAGTTATATAGTAGTGGGGCTCCTGGATGAATCTTGCTGTGGTCGCTGTCATGGATCATGTTGCATGGTGCTTTCTTAGGTTATAAGGGCCATTACTTTTAGAAGAAAAGGAGTAAGTGAAGTGACTCACCACTCTCATTTATTTGCAAAACTGCATGGGCTGTGTATTTCACAATTTTTCAAGCTAATTAAAACCATTTCACACATTATAGAAGATGGATTCTTGTATTTGTACATTTTAACTGTGCATTTCCTATAATGTTAGATGGGCAGGTGAGTTTATATAAAAACATGGGAAACTCATGTCCACAAGATTAAAGGAACATATGCAGATATAGTTCCAATAAATATTTCAGCACAAATACTTCAGATACTGAAGTAAGGATGTGGTTGACATGTTGTGAAAGAACAGGGGTGTTTTTATTGTAACAACTGGAAGTGCTATTACTAATTACTTAAAATTGCTTGTCCTGTACATGTTTTGGGCATAAGAGTTCAAAGCTCCCTCATAGTTTAAAAGGAGTGAATAGGATGAAAAAGGAAAAGAGAGGCAACAAAATAGGGGGGAAATAAACAGAGAAAGGAGAATTACCTCAAGCCTGATCATTGATACCAGAAAAACCTATCCCTCTTTTACAGGCCTTTGAAATTATAGTACATGTTGCAATGCCTAACCCAGTTTGATCAATAGAGTTCAGACTTGCAAATAGGCTCAGTTGCATTTTATAATTGTTTTGGGTGGCTGGTGGTATCCCCCCCCCCCACCTAAAAAAAATGGTGGGGGAAGAAAACATAGGAAACCATGTAGATTGAAAATTCTTGATACTTGTAGATTTTTTGGTGAGTGCTAGCTCTGACAATGGAATGTTACATATCTCTTTATTAGCCTTTTACTTAATCTGCAAACCACAAGATTTAAGACAGCTAAATAATCCTCTGCTAATGGATTTATCAGATCTTCTGGCTGAAACATCTTGTATAAGATCAGTTGTAATAAATATAAAAAACACATTTATAGCTTGAAACTCTCCTTTTTACCGCACATCCCCATGTCCAAAAAGGAAATTGCACAACTTGGTTGCAGGACTCATAAGAAAATGGGATAATATGTGGCACACTGAAAGTTTGGATACACTTATAGAATTGCTGTCCATAAGAACCCTGCTGGTTCAGACCACAGACTAATTTAGCCTAGCATTCTGATTCCCACAGTGGCCAACCAGAAGCCTCTGGTTAACCCTCTCCTGCTGCTGTTTCCTAGCAACTAGGATTCATGTTCATGGAGATTGTCATTCTGCTAGTTTGCTTGTGCAAACTTTGTTTTCATCCTTGCACAAGTGTCAAATCCACTGCTTGGATTTTGTTTTGTTAGGCTAGATGTTGCTTATGGTAGTTGTGCTAGTTGTTCCACTAGTGGTTGCACAAGCACTAGCTGCAGTGCTTTTTCCTTTAGTATAATGCTGAATACAACTGGTTTATAATTACTGTGTATCGTAATGTGTGAAGCCACCATGGCATTCTTTTTAAAGCGTAAAACAGATATGAATTCTTAAATAACTTGCTCTCAATTTAGAAAGTGTTGCATTGAGCCATCCCTATTTAATTGCCAAGAGCAGTTCATAACACATCAAAGTGTTATAGAAAGCTTTTCAGCCCAGGATATTTGTTGAAATATGTATGCTTAAACTGGACAAGCGAGAAGCATGCATGTATATCCACTTTGCTGTCAGCCTCCCCAGTGTTTGACTTCATATGTTCTGGGAACTAGGAATTGATCCTTAGCATTGGCACAGCAGTTGACACATGTGTACTGTTACCATTTCCAGCCTTGTGTTGCATATCTATAGAATGCAAGGGTTTTGCTCAATTCTTGATGAGTGTGGTGGTGGGAATAGAAATTTAACTGGACAGCCCTGTATTTATTTTATCTGTTTATTTCATATTTGACATATCCAGGGCTATCTATGGATATGAATTGTTTTTATAGGTATTAATTTATGTCCTAGATTAGGGGAGATAACAAGTATTCAGGAGATTTCAGTAGCAAGTACATAGAGCCAATATGGCATGAACCCATGTGGTGTAGTGGTTAGATTGTTGGACTGGGACTCTTGAAATCTAGATTCTAGTCCCCATTCATCTATGAAATTCATTGGATGATGTTTGGCCAGTCATTGACTCTCAGCTGAACTACCTCACAGGGATGTTGTGAAAATAAGATGAGAAAGAGGGAGATCCTCTAAGCTTGCTGGATAAAACTGGGATGTAAATACAATGAGAAATAAAAATAGAACTAGTTGGTATATAGAAAGTATATCATAGCCTTGCAAATATTTAGAGGTGGTTACATTTTCTTTCTTTACTTTACATTTTCTGTTACTTTTCTTTCTCCTGCTGCTTCTGCAGCCACTTTCCCTTTCCCTTTTGATATTGTACTAGCCATTTTCCTGTCTGGATGTGGGATAGGCAGATACACAAAGGCACATGGGTAACTGCCATAGTAATGGTTTCAACTTCCAGTTGAAATTCCTTTTATCTATGCCTTGATGTATTCTTGTAGGAACACTAGTAAGTGAAATAATGTAGGCCATGTTCTCAAAATTAACTTTAAAGAGGCATGCTAATATGTTCTCTTCAGAAAGCTGCCAGTATTTCATCATTCACTGTGGAGGAGAATTTGGAAACATCTGCATGCTAATAAGCCTTAGTCGAGGCTGTATTCCTTACAAAAATTAAAAATGAACAGTGTATGTGATGCTCAGCTAACTAAAACATTTTTAGCAGTGATAGCACTAGAAAAAAACTTCCAGTTTCACATGTCATAGCTGGTACCTTTTCAAATGCAGTATCTGGTGCTATTAGTATTGCCTTAGTAATTACAGTCCCTGGTTTATATCCTCCCATGAAAGAGATATTTTTTTCATTTGGAAAGAATGTAGGCATTTCTTGTACTTCTCTTAGCATCCTTCTGCTCTGAAAACATTTGAAATTGAGAGAATGCAGCTATGTTAGTTGATCTTGTAAAATGGAGTATTAAAATTGGTGAGAACTGTGAAGCATTCAGTATGTCAGAGTTGTGCTCAGACCATGTCACCTCAATTTGCTGTGTAAAACTGATTCCTCTGAAAAATGGTTGTGGCAGATGTGAACTTGTTTATGTACAGGATTTGAAAGATTATGTGGTGCTTATCTAGACTTCTTGTGTTGTGCAGTGTGCTCTGCATGAATTGGTTGCTGTATTTACCCTAAAACCACTGTACTTTTTTTCTGTTGGTAGCATATGTTTGCCATCTTTGGCTAAAATATGCAATTGTGGAGTGTTGGTTAGAATGTTGGACTGGTGACTTGGGAGATGGCTCCACTTGCTCACTAGGTGGCTTTGGGCCAGTCACACACTTTCAGCCTAACCTACCTCACAGAGTGGTTGTGAAATAAAATTGATAGATGTAAGCCACCTTGGGTTCCTCACAAGAGGAAGAGGTTGGCTATAAATGCAATGTAATAAAATAACACTGGTCTACAAGGAGAAAGCCTCGGAAATAAAAGTAGCTAAATTTTACCAGAATTGGGTCACTAATAAAGGAAAATTAAGTCCTGAGTATTAACTGGCTCCAGTTTTCAAGATACAGGTTCAGGTCAAAATTGCATCAAAATAATTCAAAATTACAAGGGGGATATATGATTATGCTCCATAACTTTTCTGCAAAATGTGATATAGCAATGAGAAACTCTGTGAAATTAGATGTGGTTCAGGAGGAGCATACAGTGGGCTAAAGTTTGGGTCTGCTGACATTGACAGCCCTGGATCAGCTGCATCCTGCTCATCATCTTTATCATCATCTGAGTCTAGAGAGTAGGATTCTGGTGGATGTGGAATTGGCAAGTTCTCACCATGGGGTACAGGACACAGTGTGAATGGAATGTTTGGATATTCCACTGTCCACTTCTTTCTTGAGATCCCTTTTGCAATTGGGGGAACCATGCAAAAATAGCAGTCATTACTATGATTGGTGGGTCCCCTCCGCACCATAGAGACTGTGAAAGGCATGGACTTTTTCTTCTTGTTTAGCCAATGACACAGTTAAGTTGCACATTTAATGCAACAATAAAAGGGGCTCAACTCTTGTCCTGATCCTCTATTTTGCATAGGTGGTATGCCTTTTTACCACTGCCGTCATACTGCACTTTTGAGATGTCACAAAGGTAGCAGAAGTTATCTGCATTGTTTACACAGTTTCAAGGCAGCTTGGCTTCTGAGGGAAAACATCACGCAACTGTTCCTTGGAAAGGTTAGGCAATGATGTAACTGTATGATGTGTAGATCTGACCAAGACAAATGTACCTTGCAAGAAAAGAACAATAAATTACAGTTAGGTAATAATCTTTAGTCTCAAAGTGAAGATAAATTTATACACTTCCATGTAGTAGCATTTTCATTGTTCTACCATACTTTGTCGAGAAGTTACATCATGATCACACCTCTCTCCCTTGTAGGTAAATATGCTTGCCTGTGTATAATTCTTTCTTGTGAAATATCTTGAAAACTTTAGCCAACCAGCACCTTTATCACCTGTTTTCTAATTAATCTAATCAAGATATGTAAGAATTAGCACATTTTATCTTGGGGGTCAATAATTTCCCAAAATTTGTAGACCAGTGTAATATTCTGTATGAAATCTAATTTGTAAGTGCTCTTAAATATCAATTTACAATTTGAATTGACATTCTATGAATAATGAGGTATGTGCATTGAAGGGATGACAACAATTTATATTAAATTAACTAGTTTACTGCTTTATTTTATTTTTATTTTATTAAAACATTTTTATGCCGCCCCATTCGCCGAAGCCTCGGGGCGGCTCACATCATCAAGTTAAAATAATTATAAATTAAAAATATAAATATTAAATTAAAATACAACAATACAGTATAAAATAAGCCGCCCTGGCCAAATAAAACCAATAATGTTAACAGTTAAAATGCCGCTTGAATCAGTCTAATCTGCTTATGACCAGAATGCATACATTTCATACTGACTATGGCTGCCATTGTATCTTACTTCTGGTAAGGTTTCTGCTAGCATGACAAAAAAGTAAAATATGGTAACTCTATTTTATTATAGCTTTTCTAGAATGCAGTTACTAAGTATAGTAATACATTTTTCCTGTTACAAAAAGTAGAAACCTATCTTCCAATAAAACAAAATAAATTTTGTATGAACCCAGAGAATTCTTGAAGAGGGAAGTTTCATAATACCTTTTAGATCATAGTTTATAGGTCGGCAGGATATATGTGTTTATTAAACTATTTACGACAATGTCTTATGCTGTAAGAACATTTATTCATAATTAAGGTAGCTGTAATAGCTGAGTTCTAATGCTTGAAACCCTAAACATACTTACTGGGAAGTAAGCTGTACTGAACTCAGGATAATGTCCTTCTGAGTAAACGTGCTATAGGCTTGAACACTTATGCCTGAAGTAGTGCTTTTGTTTTTAGATGATTGTTAAAGTGTCACAGCTATCAGAATTATTATCTCTCTCTTTTGGCTGTATTTCCAGGATGCTATAGCAGAACCAATTATGCTACATTCCCGAAAGCTCAGCAACCCTGACATCTTTTCAGCCACTGGGAAAAGTAAACTCCATCGTCAGCTGAGTCAAGATGACTGCAAGCTCCGGAGGGGTAGTTTGGCCAGCTCTTTGTCAGGTAATCATTTTGTTCAGCTGACATCAGATATTCACATATTTAGTATGTATGCAGTAGTCAGACAGTACTCTGGGGCATGTCCTCCAAGTGCCAACTCCAATGGAATTGTGGAAGGCGGCAACAAGGGGAGGGGCTTTCTTGGTGGTGGCCCCATCTATGGAATAACCTCCCCACTGTGGCCCAGCTGGCACAGAATCTGTCACCTTTTCAATGCTAGGTTAAGACTGCCTCTTTTCTGAGGCTTTTAAAGACTTACTTGGCCACCCAGAGGCTTGAGGGGGATGACCAGGTGTTTTGCAGAATCACTCTTTTGTCATTCCTTTTATTGTCTCTTTTATCATTTGTTTTTAGTTGAAACCTTTAATTTTTTTTCCTGATTTTTACAGTATTTTTGTTATATTTTTATCATTTCTTCTTAAGGATTGTGTAAACTGCCCAGAGAGCTTCAGCTGGGGACAGTATAGAGATGAAATAAATAAATAAATAATAAAATGCAGTATTGTGAGTTAATGTTTCAGAGGTTCAAGACCTGTTTTCATTTGGAATAGAAAAGGATTTCTTAGAATTGATAGTAAAAATTCTTAGAAATATTAAGGCTGTTCTAAGGCTCTGACTTATACATTATTTGAAATGTATGTTCTGCAGTAGATTCTTTGTATAAAAATTAATAAGAGAGCCAGTGTGGCGTAGTGGTTAAGAGCATGGGACTGGGACTCAGATGATCTGGGTTCTAGTCCCCACTCAGCCATGGAGCCAACGGGGTGACTTTGGGCCAGTCGCAGACTCTCAGCCCAACCTACCTCACAGGGTTGTTGTTGTGGGGATAAAATGGAGGAGGAGATGTAAGCTGCCTTGAGCCCTTTGTAGGAAAAAAGGCAGGATATAAATCGAAAAATAAATAAGCAAGCAAATTATTAAAGGACATTGTTTTTATTTTGTTTAAAGGAAAACAGTTGCTTCCTTTATCCACTAGTATGCACAGTGGAGTGGGACAGACAGTGTGGCAACCACCTGGTGAATCATCTAATCTGGTCCGCATGAGGAATCAGTCATTGGGACAGTCTGCTCCATCACTTACAGCTGGTTTGGTATGTTTAATTTGCATTTTTATTAAAGTAGTTTTGTCTTTTTAAATAAGCCCTTGCCTTTATGTTAGATTTCTCTGATTATTTTGATTGCTCTTACCTAATTTCCTGTTTAAGGGTATGGCTTTATGTCGGTCTACTGAAAGCTTACCTTATTTTCTCAAAAAATGTTAAGTCCCCACCATGTTTGGCATAGTTTTATTTTACCCTTTTGGGGGAATACATTAATATCTAATATAGTCTAGAATTTGCTAACACCCCTACTTCTTTCAAGACGCATTCTGTTGGATAGTATGTGCCTAACTGAAGGGCATTGGATTTCATAACCTTAAGAAAATCTTCCCTGAATATTTGCTGATCATTCAAGAAAGATGTTTGGCTAACTACAACAGGCATTGCCTAGCAGTGGTAATCCACACTCTGGTAACCTCCTGATTGGACTATTGTAACATGTTCTACATGGGGCTACTCTTGAAAATGGTCTAGATACTTCAGTTTGTACCAAGTAGAGATGCAAGGCTGCTTACGAAGACTGGCAGACAAGACCATGTAGCGCTAGTCCTATAGCATCTTCTGTGGTCACTGATTGAAGTCTGGGCCTGATTTAAGGGCTTAACATTGACATAGAAAGCTCTAAATAGTTTAGGGCCTGGATATCTGAAGGAGTGTCTCTTTCCATACATACCTGCCCAAACTTTGTGATCTTCCACTGAGATCCTTCTCTGGGAGTCTTCTTCGAAAGAGGTTAGAAAAGTGGCCACCTGGGGAAGGGTCTTTTCTGTGGTAGCACCCCAGGTATAGAATGTGCTTTTCAGAGATATGTGCCTAGCACCAGTGCTTTATTCATTTTGGTGTCAGGCCAAAACCTTTTTATAGTGGCGCCCCGACTATGGAATGCGCTCCCCAGAGAGGTCCACCTGGCGCCGTCATTATATGTTTTTCGGCACCAGGTTAAGACCTTTTTATTTAATCAATATTTTAATAAGTTTTAATATTGAATTTTATAATTGTATTTGCAGCCAGAGTGGGTCGTCAATTTATTTATGCTGTTAGTCATCCAGAGACGTTAGTAATTGGATGGCATACAAATTTCATAAATAAATAAATAAATAAATAAATAAATAAATAAATAAATATTCAGCCAGTATTTTAATGGTTGAATGGTTTTTACTGTATATTTTAATATATTGCACATTATGTTTTATTTAAGTTCTGTTATGGTTTCTGTCCTTTGTAAGCCATCTAGAGATCCATCTTGGATATAAGATGGGATAAAAATGTTATTAAATAAACAGTATAAAGTTATTTGGCATTTTGAGAACAATGGATGACCTTGTACTTAATGGTATTCCAATGATATTAAAGACCTCAAAGCCTTTCAAGATGATCATGAATAGTAATATTATGGTTGCGGAAAAAGGGTTGTACTTCAAGGTAGTTTTTTAAACATATCAAGCTATTGAACTATTGGTGTCTAGGTTCTGTGACTGAGCTCCCCATGAAGAGCACGGGAAAAAACCAAAGAAGGGCATACAGTGTTTCAGTCTTTTAATAATGCATTAACATTCCATGATATAAAATAGAAAATAATATATTCTTGCAGCACTTCAGCTATTGCCAGTTTTTCAGATTTTCATAATATATGGTAAAATCAGTACTTTGTTTCAGAAAGGTCTATTTTAGAACTGTCATATTTCTCCCTTGTGAATATAATTTTCTGTCAAGCCTTGTGTAAATGCCAGAAATCAAGTGGTGGACTTTTGGAATACCAGGGCACCTGCTTCACATAGAGAAGGTCCTGGTTTCTATATACCATCTCTAGGTAGCTATAGTTCTGCCTGTAACTTTGCAGTGCTGTGGCCAATCAGTTGTTGCCAATACTGGGGTAGGTGAACCAAAGGTTTGACTTCGGTTGCTTCTTATGCTTCTATGTGTATCTTGTCATATTTTTGTATTCAGATAGCTGCCAAAAAAGTCTTGATCTTGCAAAAATGTGGTTAGCTACCCAAAGAAGAAAAGTGAATGCCATATCATAAATGCTTTTTAAATACTATTTCCTTTGGACAGCACTATCTTAGCTAACACATTCCATTTACCACAATTGAAAACTAACATTTACCATACTAGTGTTTTAAGATACATACAATACATAATATGCTAAAAAGCTCACATCAAACTCTAGATTAGTTATGCAAACACTGCATTTCAAATAAGGTGTGCTTAGAGTGGTCCGCAAAATATAAAATTGCCAATCTGAGTCTTCAAAGTAAAGAAATTCAAGTATATCAAATTTGCATCTTTTTCCAGAGAGGATGTTTTTGGAGTAACTGGACTTAAACTGATCTGAATTGTCCATAGGATGTTTTTCCATGTTCTGTTGCAGCAGGTTCTCATTACAGCTTGAAACTAATGGATTGCTACCAAAGTAAGGCTCCAATTCATAGCAAGTCTGCAATACTTGCACAAACTTGGCTTTATTTATGGCAAATTGAATGTATTTCTGTTAAGAACTGTATGAGTATATGCATTATTAAAACACCTTTAAGGTATGAATGTGGCAACAATGTATTCACATACCGTATTTTTCGCTCTATAAGGCACACTTCCCCCCCCTCAAAAGTAAGGGGAAATGTCTGTGCGTTTTATAGAGCAAATGTGTGTGTGCCCGACACCTGGGATGCTGCCGGCCCACCTGCACCACGTGGCACCACCTGGCTGGCACGCGCTCGGCACGCGCTACACCCCCCCCCCGGCGCAGGTGAGAGCTGTGCTGCTCGGGGAGCGGTGTGGAGGAGGAGCAGCCACGGACTTTAACCCGCCGGCCGCATGGAGAGATGGACTGCACACCCCCACTGCCCTGGAAGACCTGCCGCGGAGAAGGGGGAGCCGCGGGCTTTAACCCGCCGGCCACACGGAGAGACGGACTGCTCACCCCCACCGCCCTGGAAGACCTGCCGTGGAGAAGGAGGAGCCGCGGGCTTTAACCCGCCGGCCGCACGGAGAGACGGACTGCTCACCCCCACCGCCCGGGAAGACCTGCCGCCGCTGTGCCGCCCGGAAGACCACCGCCAGCACGCTGCCGGCCCGGCTGCACCACACCTGGCCGGCACGTGCTCGGTGCGCCCTGCTCCACCCCCCTCCTCCGGTGCAGGTGAAAGCTGTTAATCACAGGTCGGTGTGTGTTTTCAAATGGCAACCCGTCTTTTAATGAAGCTCATGGGGAAGTGATGGGGAATGTGCCTGTGATTATCAGGAAGCTTTCCATGGATCCCTCCTCTAAAAACTAGGTGCATCTTATGGTCAGGTGCGTCTTACAGAGCAAAAAATACGGTAAGTGGTATGAACTTTATGTTCTGGTGCCATCTACTGGGGGAGAATTGCCAGCGTAAAATCCCAGCGGCTAAAGAATTTTGAGTGTTTGTAAAGCGATTGCTCTCAATAACAAGAACATTGCGGTTGGGAACAATTGAGGAATAGGGGTGTATTGAGACCTGTAGTCTTCTGCCCATTACTACTGAAAAGAGCGTGTATACATTAGTAGTTGTAGAATAACTTTACAAAATCTTGATATTTTTAGCCTTTTGCTTTTTTTTTTTTTTTAGTATACTACTTGCAGGTTTTTTTCCCACATGAAAGCTTGTATTTATAGATCAAGAATTTCCCCCCCTTTTCACTTGAAAATTGTGCATGCCGTGTCATTCCTGAGACCTTTTTCTTATCTCTTAGGAGTGAAAATATTTCACGATCATGGAACCACAATGTTGCCTCCCATTTTAAGGTTTCCCTTTCCATATCCTGACTTTACGACTAAACGAACTATTTCCATATCCATTGTTACCACATTGAAATTGGAGGTTATATTGACACTAAGAATAGTCAGGTTCTGGCACCAGGTTAAATTTATTTATTTATTTATTTATTTAGCTAGCTAGCTAGCTAGCTAGCAGACTTATAGGCCGCCCCATTTGCCTAAGCCTCGGGGCGGCTTACATACTATTACAAAAGGCATACTATTTGGTATAGGACAGGCCTTTTGTTAAAATGGTAGGGTCTATGTATCACAGTGAGATGGTTGATGGATGACATTAACAATTTTTGAGACTGATTTTTTTCCTGTAAGTTTTTATTGGTTTTATGATACAATAAATCTGTATTATGTATTGCAATCATTTGTGATGAATAGTGGGATATTAAACCTAATATATTTGGGTCAAAGTGTTCATTCTCACTTCTCAAAGTAAAGTGAGAATGAACAGCTTTTATGGTAATATAAATGGTGTCTTAAGGTCCAGAATATGTTGAGTATTTAGTGGTAAATTGAAGATTGGCTTTTTTGTCTTAAGGGCCTAGGTGTTAAAGGAACAAGGCCTTTCATATTAGCAGTAACAAAATTCAGTTTATCACCAAGCAATAACTTTGCATAGGTTCTTGAATAGGTAACTTAATAGGTCATATTTTTCATTGCTTAATTGAAATGTATGTTGTGTTTAGTTGACAACTGTGGGAAGTGATGCTTTGATCCTTTGATCAAATGACCCTTTGCAAGTTCCTAGTCACCCTTACTGACTCCTTTCACACCCAAATCCTTGTCTCTAAGACATGTCACCTGATAGTGGCGAATACATCATCAGTTCAGTAGGAGATGCTTTATGACCTCAACAGAGAGTTCTGATTATTTTGTATAGATAAGTGCTTGCTAAGAATCATCTCAGAGCCTCAGATCACCTGAATTTACCAGGTAGAAACATTTCTGTTATGTCATACCACTCTGATACTGATATCCTTTTCTCTTTTGCTTGCTCACAAGAGGAGCCTTTTATAGGGAGGGTCCCTTGGCCTTTCCCTAGTTCTGGCATTGTTAGATAGAAGGATAGACAGGGTTAACTGAACTTTTGTTAAAAGATTTAAATATTTGCTTTCTCCAAAGTAAATTACTTCCTTCTACTATGAAAAATGCAGTGAAAATTTGGAATGCTTGGCTTAGAGGCATTTAAGGTGAGTTC